CAGGCTTTGCTTTCTTTCGCCTCAAAGTATTCCCACCAACAGTATCTGACTCATCATCAGTGCTCAATCCAAAGGCTAGGGAAGGGTGTGGGCCGCTGAAACTTGGTGGGTGGTGTTCTGCTGGGATGAAGTCCTGGGGGACCTGCAGGCGGCACCTGGAAGCTGACTGACAGGAGACAGGGACTTGACAAGGCTGGTTTGGAGGCAATGCCAAGGGTCTGTCCCTTCTCTCCCACTCACTTGGCCTTTCCTGAGGCAAGTCCATGGGGAGAACCAGGAGAAGGAAACAGGCCCAGGGGTTGAGGTCACATGTGTTTAGCAGGCCTGGGTGTGGGGGAAGTCAGCAGCCTTGACCTCAGTGGCCCTTCCCAAACCCTCTGGTGCCCCTTCCTTTCCTCGCTCCCATTCTCAGTGGGGCAGGATGGTAGCTCGAGCATTGTGGGGCATCACTTGCCTCTGTATTTCCAAACAGGAGGAGAGAGCAGGACCTCTGGTACTTTCTCCGGAAACTCCCAGAAGAACTGTCCAGCACAATAAACGATAAGAATTTACTCTCAAGGGATAAGCCCCCAATAGATAGGAGCATTAAAAAAAGTGAAACAGCCCAGCCAGCGTGGCTCAGTGGTTGAGCGCTGACCTATGAACCGGGAGGTTACAGTTTGATTCCCAGTCAGGGCACATGCCTGCATTGCAGGCTCGATCCCCAGTGTGGGGCATGCAGGAGGTAACCAATCAATGATTCTCTCTCATCATTGATGTTTCTATCTCTCCCTCTCCCTTCCTCTCTGAAATCAATATATATATATATAATTTTTTTTAAGTGAAACAGCCCTAGCCGGTTTGGCTCAGTGGATAGAGCATCGGCCTGCAAACCAAACGGTTCTGGATTCAATTCCTGTCAAGGGCACATACCTTGGTTGCAGGCTCCTCCCCATCCCGGGTCCTGGGTGGGGCTCGTATAGGAGGCAACCAATCCATGTGTTTCTCTCACATCGATGTTTTTCTGTCTTTCCCTTTTTCTTCCACTCTCCCTAAAAATCAATGGGAAAATATCCTCTGGTGAGGATTAACAAGAACAAAACAAAACAAAAAACTGGTCAGGATCCAAATTAAAAAAAAAAAGTGAAACACAGTCATGGGTGACAGATTCATAATGCAATTATTGATGCAAACACGGGTCCTTTTTCTTTCTTGCATTTTGCACCCCCTCTCCCTCCAAAAATTGTTGCTGATGGCTGGGGAGTGACTCAGGGAGACAGCTACAGGGGAGAGTGACTTGGCTGCAGCTGATGCTAAAAACGACCAGCACCAAGGCAAAGGCCGGAGATGGCACCCTCCCTCTCCCTCATCTTCCTCCCTGGGCCTTACTTGTAATGAGGGGGACAGAACTTCTGACCTGTCCGAGAAGTTGAGTGGATTAAATTGATAAAGGGCCTGACACCCATTCATAATACTGCTAAGAACTATGATGTATTGAGTCCCCAAGGCCAGGCACCATGCTAACATGACCTCCTTCGATCACTGGTCCAAATTCCATCAAGGCAAGGACTAGATCTGTCTTGTTCCCCACTGTATCACTAGTCCCAAGTGTCCTCCAGCACAATGAGAACAGTAACCAAAGCTCACAGGACCCTTATTTTGTGCACTCACTTTCTAGCCCATTTACCATTTCCAGCATGTACATTTCTAATCTTCATGACAATGTTAAGGGGTAATTACTACCACTGTTCCCACTTTGTAAATGAGAAAACTATGGTACAGAAGGCAGAGAGAAATTGGGTAACTTTCCCAAAGTCACCAAATAAGTGATAGTGCAAGAGACTGAACCCAGACAGCCTGGCTCTAGAGCCCTATGCTAACTCAGGGGGTCAGGGGATGCTCACAAGCCCGGTGTCAGGCTGTTTTATTGGCAAAGCAGTTGAAGCTAAGAGAGCAGTTGAATGATTGGCTCAAAGCCACGGAGCTGTTAGGTGGCAGACCCAGGAATGGATTCAGTGTGAACAAGCTAAATGCCTCTGAAAGGGTATGCTTCAGTCCCCCGACTCCCAGCCCAGGCTCTGGGGCCAGCCTTTTCCTATAGGGCTCCCCGCAGAGTCCACAAATGTCTTGAGGCTGGGACTAGACTAAGGGCAGCTGTGGAGCAGTAACAATGACACCCCAAAGCTCAGAGACAGCCCCCAGGCCAGGAATTTGTCAGGAGCCCAGTTCTGAGGACTGGCGTTGGCTGTGGGCTGATGCTGGGCCCTCCTTCCACCTGTAGCCCCTGGCAAGAGTGCTCAGAGGGCCTGTCCCCACCCCCAACCTCCTAAGGCAGGATGGTGACTATCTTCCTGGGAGAGGAAACCGGCAGCTTCAGACAGTGTTTGGTCAAGAGATTTTTCATCTTCCTTTCCTGGCAAGAGCCGAGCTTCCATCACTCACACACTTGTTTTCCATCACTCACGTCCTTGCCCGTCGGCTGGCATCTGGCTCATCGTGGATGTCCCGTGATAAGTCAGGAACATGACAGATGCCATTAACATAACATTCCTATTCATCCTTCCAGGCTAGGCTGGCTTGGAGAGGAGGCTGAGAGAGGGATGGAGTCAAAAGAGAACAGCTTCTGACACCAGGCTCATTTGAGGCCGAGGCTGGCCTCTGCTGCTTTCCTAGCTAGGTAGCTTAGGACAAGTTCCCTAACCTCTGTGAGAAACTAAGTCTCCACATTCATTAAATGGGGATAGAAATAGAGAAATTCTCATCTGGAATCAAAGCCATTGCTTTGCACACCTCCAGGGGGCAGCACTCACATTGTGGTTTATGTGAGTGCGTGCCACATGGAACCCCACTCCATAGACTACAAGGTGAAAGATGCCTCAAGATTGCACATCCCGAGTCTGCACCTGCCAGAGAAGAATAGCTATGCCATCTTCCAGATGTGGTGCTGACCAGGGTGCTAACAGGGTTCTTGTGAGGACCAGAGATGACGCCATGCCAAGGGGCTGGGGCCTTGTAGGTGCACAGGAGGCATGGCATTCCCAGACACCTCCTGCCCTGAGAGATGCCCCTGCCCAATTCTGACTCACGTGTGGAGCAGGTGGGAGCAAGTAGAGACCCAACTCACAATAGCCTTGTGAGCAAGACCTCTTTCCTCTCAGTTTGCCCCCTTGGTAACCACAAAGAGTATGAGACTCCTTGGCAGAAGGCTAGGGGTAAGTAGGGGGTTTCACTCTACTAGGGTTTGTAGCTGACTCGTCAAGAAACCTTGAGTGAAATCTCTTCCCCAGCGTGGTTTTCCAGTCTCTGCTTAAAGCAACGGACCCTTTCTGTGTCTCCCCCCATAGGGTAACTTCATTTAAAGCCTCCTGTGTGGGTGCACTCTCCTTCCCAGGAGCATGTCCGTGCCTCCCCACTCCACTTTCTTCCCCCCACAGGCATGCACTTCCTAAACTCTAAGGGACCTCACGAGGCTTGCAACCAACGCAGTAATGGGCAGCGGCAGTTCATCCCAGGTAAACCCCTGAACCTGTGCCCAAGGCCTCCGTTTCTCCACTTCTTAGTGAGCCAAAGCAGCCCAGCCCAGGCTCATTTCCTTAGCCCTTCCTTGTTTCACTGTCCCCAGCTGCAATAAACATCCTCTAAAATTCAAGACAAAACAACAACACCTGCTTTATGCTTGACACAGTGGAGAGGAGGGTGTCAAGGTAGCTAGTCTCCGGCCCCAAGGTCACAGAAGAGTAGGCTGAGGTGGTACAGTGCAGGGACTCAGGGCCCCATGGTGTGTGTGTGTGTGTGTGTGTGTGTAAACACCTTCACTTGACGTTGATGCTTGGGCCCAAGGAGGCCCCGCTCCTCAGAGCCCTCAAGCAGGAGACCAGCAGCTCCACTGCTCACCTTTGGAATTCGGGCTTTTCTCTTCTCTCCAGGTGAGGGCTGCCCTGCCTAACGCAGTTTCCTGTTGCCTCTCTGCCTCTCAACTGGCCCAGTTGGCTGCAAGTCTGCAGCTTTCAACACAGGAGTTAGGCAAGGGAGTTCCATCACCTGGAGACAGAAGCGCACCTTTTCATTGCCTCTCACACCCTCCCTCCTCCTTCCCATCCACATCAACAACCCCGTCCTCTTTATTCTGCTTGCTCAGTGAACTCTGAGATATAGCAGACCCCTTGCCTTGTCTATTTGATTTACTGCAGAACCCTAGTTCCTAGACCTAATAAGGTGCTCAATACACGTTAGTTGAATGAATGAATGAATGAATGAATGAATGAAGTCCTTCCATGAAGTTGGGCACACTTCATGCTTACTCTAGGAAGATGTTCAGACATCCAGGGTTGTTATCCAAAAGAAGTCACCACTGTTCTCTCCTACGGGGGACCCCCATTCCTGACCCTCTTATCATTCATTTATTCATCGAGCCAATATTTATTGAGTAGCTCTTCTGAATTAGAGTTCGGTTTGGGAGAGAAGCCTTGAGCTTTCTTCACACCCTGGCTCCTTCTTTTCTCCCCCCCCCCCCACCCCACTGTCCCCACAACCCTGACCAGGGCTCTTCCCCTCCCTTGTTCTGCCTGTCACACAGGGGTCCTATATTTGGGCTTTCTTAGACCCTTCCAACCTACAAAAGAATTGCCAGCCTCGGTCTCCAACATCTGCCCCCAGCCCATCCTCCCACCCACTGTAGGGCCAAGTCCCAGCCAGGCTCTGCCAGAATCCCACCCCACCCTACCTCCCGGACCGGCCCTGACTCTGTTGTCCCAGCTCAGGCCCTGGGACCCTGCCCCTGGGCGTCCCGCCCCCAGCGCCCAGGCCCCTGGTGCTGCCAGCTTTTTGGAATTCCTAATCGCTCCTGGCCCCAGTGATTGGCTGCTCAGCTCTGACCCCACTTGGGCTGCCGCCTGGTTGGATAAAAGGGGAATCTCCTTGGGGCTCCAGAGCATCAGACACCGGAGGGGGCATCTGGGACCAACTTCGCAGAGCGGCGAGCCCGGCGGGGGTGGGGCGGGGGGAGCTAAAGACCAGCGCCTCGGCCCCTCCGAAGAGCCGGGAGATGACGGGGAAATCGGGGGAAGCGCTGAGCAAGCCCAAATGCGAGACAGTGGCCAAGAGTACCCCGGGGAGCGCCCCGGCCAGGTGCACGGGCTTCGGCATTCAGGAGATCCTGGGCCTGAACAAGGAGCCCCCCAGCTCCCACCCGCGGGCTGCCCTC